ATTATTAAAAATAAAAAATTAAAATTAACGATAGATTGTTATCTAAATTGATACACACATAAATTTAATGATAGATAAACTTTTAATAGTAGTATAACATACATACAAGTGTATATATAAATGCAAGTATACCTACTTCGATAAAGAAATAATTATCGATACTATATTATCGATTGATAATAACAAAAGATATAACATCGAACTCGTGCTGGATTACCCCGATGAAATTTAACATTATATTATATAAATTAGCATAAATCAATATTAAATCAAGTTAAAGAAATCTTTTAGAAAGCCATATTAACTGGTCCGAATAATGGCAGTTTATTCAAGATAAGAAACACGTGTGTCAATGTTATTTCTATACAAGGACATTCTTATGAAAGATCTTCGAAAGATATTTTTTTTTCTTTAATATATACAATATTAATTCAGAAATATTTTTTTTTCTATCTTTTTTCTATGTTAAATGCTTATAAAATTCTATGCACGCCTATGTGTGCTTCCGTGTGTGTGTTGTAATATACTATAAAACAATTTATAAACGACATGATCTTTTTATTTGAAATTATAAAAACTTATGCTAATTTGTTGATGCATCAAGATTTGAAAAACAACTCAGCAAATTTTAATCATCCACTGATATTTAAATATATTTAAATTTCTAAATACAATTAAACAATAGAAAATAACGTAAGTGTGTCAAAATGTTTGATAAACACAAAATACTCACCTGTTATATTTGATTAATCTCAATTAGTAGATTTCTAGACTAAAAACAAGCGAAGAACCTTTCTTATAACGATACGAAATTTTGATTGACATCATCGTGCAATGCTCGATGATTAATATTTATTTCTTTTTCTAAAAGAACGAATAAAACGAACGCAATTTTAAACGAACCAATCGGAGCTAAGTATTTTTCTAAAGGCGTTCATTCATTCGTTTACAACTTGCAATTCGATTGGCATGTTCTCATTCGTAATGTAAATAATTATTAAAATATTTTTGGAATAAAAGAAATTCAAAGACGAAACAAATGTTTTTTCTTATAAGTAATCGATGATAATTATTATTAATTATATAATAAATAAATATAATAATAATAATAATTTCGCGTCAAAAGAAAGAAAAGTTGTCTCGTCCATACAGAATAAGTTTTTAAAAGTTGAATTTCATTGGTGCGTCGCAAATAATGAAATTTTCAAATATTATCTATAATATGTGTATATAATTAAAAAAATAAAATATATACTTTCTTTATTGTTGAATAATTGCTGCATAAAAAAAAAAGATAAATTCCATAGAAAACACACGTATTTTAAATATACAATATCTTTCCCTAAATTATTATGATATATATATTTTTGTATATTCGCACACTTATTAAGTTATTATAATAAAGACGATATTATAATAACTCTAAGATATTTTTCAAATTGTAATTAGAAATAATGTATAAAAATGCGCAAACGTAACAAAGAACCTTGTAAAATTAATGCTCTGTAAAAAACAGTCGGTAAGAAAGGGATTCCAAATATTTTCTAAGAATGAGTTTGGTGAAAGTTTCTTTGGAGTAAGAAGACAAAGGAGAATAAACAAATAATCTGATAATCCGACATTTAGCTGATCATTTGAATACGATGATGTATTGAACGAAGAAAAAATATATATTATTTTAAATATTTGAATTAAAAGAATGAATGAGAGAATCCTTACAATCTAACATTATCGATCAAACTGTCTATATATCTATATCGAGAGTTGGGTGTATGTCCCTACCACGCAGGATGTATTTTTTTTGTTGGTTCTTGCTTGCTATTAACAAATTCTAACCTCACCTGAAAACAAGACACCGATTATAATTCTTTCCTTTCGACAGTTATGAACGGTTTAATGAACATTACACGAACATTCCTCTGTTCCTTTTATCCAAACAATATCACATTTGGCGCGCACTAATGAAAAACAAAACTAAACGTTTACAATGTATTCACGACAAACTGGCACGCTCTCTCACTCGAACTTCTGTTCGTGCAGTGAATCGAACAGAAGCGTCATTCACCAGGAGGCGCTTCGCACGTTACTATCAGCTGATTTTTACTTCCTAGTCTATTTCGGCTACACACCACGTGTATTATTCCTTTCATAATGCATAAAAATTGTTATGCGAGTTTGTCAATGATCGAAAATATTACTTTGTTATTGTTCGAATATATTATTTCTTTATTATAATATTTAGTTTCTTTTTCTTTTTACTCTCTCGTATAAAAAAGATCAAATTCGTGGTAAATATTAAAATTAATACATAGGTGTCAATATGTCAAAGTCAGTTTCATTACCACAAAAAAAACATTATAGACAACGTGCTCACTCCAATCCTATTGCAGATCATTGTTTAGAATAGTGAGGAATTTATATTGTTAATTATCAATTATATTTAATTATTAGTTACTCAAAATCATTCTTTTTTTACATGTGTACAACAGTCCGTTAAAACCAGAGTTAATGAATTGGAGTCCTTATTATCCTAAATATTTTTCTAAAGATAATGATAATGAGAATACAGAGGATACTCCTAAAAAGTATGTAGAGTTCGCCGATATTGGTTGCGGTTATGGAGGACTTCTCGGTAAGTTTTATCATACGTTTTGTATAACGATATATAATCGTTTGAGTCCCAAACAATGTGCAATTCATACAACGTGGTTGCACCATTTGACATTTGTCAACACGTTTCTTCTAAAGAATCCTGGGACTTAAACAATTAATTTATTACAAATTCACCGTCGAAGAAAACAAATTAATATATTTGTAAAATAGTTACTTTATCGCCAATGTTCCCTAATAATTTAATACTCGGTCTGGAAATCAGAGTTAAAGTATTAGATTATGTAAAAGATCGCATAGAAGCGTTGCGATCTCAAAACACAGGACAATATGAGAACATAGCTTGCTTAAGGACTAATGCTATGAAACATTTACCTAACTATTTTTTCAAAGGACAGGTATGATAATGAAATAATTCAAGATTCTTTATGTATCAAAAGAAGTAATAATAAACTTCAACTCTTACGATTTGTAGCTAAAGAAGATGTTTTTTCTATATCCAGACCCACACTTTAAAAAATCCAAATATAAATGGAGGATAATAAGCAAAACCCTTCTTGCTGAATATGCGTACGTGCTTGCCGAAGGTGTAAGTACTTATCATATCTCATTACAACATATTTTTATTGTAATAATAATAATAATAATAATTAAAAATAAATCTTGATTTAAAGGGTATCGTATACACAATAACCGACGTAAAAGCTTTAAATGAATGGATGGTACGTCATTTCGTAGAACATCCATTATTCGAAAGCGTACCTGAAGAACAATGGGTAAGCATCCTAACGAATAATTTTATCTTTCATCATCTCTATCGTAATTATAATTTAAAATATTCTGATGTATATTAAAGGCTGCAGATCCCATAGTTAAGAAACTTTATGAAAGTACGGAAGAAGGCCAAAAAGTGACAAGAAATAGCGGAGATAAATTTTTAGCTATATTTAAACGAATTCGAGATCCAATGTTAGAACAACAAAACGACATATGATGCATTATTATGTATTTGCTTGAATAGATATAATATTTTTATTTATATTAAAACCTGTTTTTAACCTGAGATTAATTTTATTTATATTAAAACCTGTTTTAAACCTGAGATTAATTAATCTATGAAAGAAATTCTAAGTTCTGTGGAATGATGCTTTAAGTTATCATAAAAGCTACCCTCTTCATTTTCTTCGCGCACTTTTAATGTGGGTAATATTTTTACACTACTTATATGCCTGATATCTTTTTCTTTAAATAAGTGTGCAGTTTCCAATTGAAACTCTTCGTGTATTATAAGAAACAGCATCTAAAGATATTGCAAAATAAAATTAATATATTAAACATCGATAATATTATCTTACCTTTTCTAAAATAGATGCAATAAACTTTCGTGGTGTTGCTATATACGATTTAGTTATTATTTTTTCACGATCTAAAGGATTAGTTAAAAATTGAGTATAATACAAGTGCGATCCACTTAGCACATGTTCTTGAATCGTGTGTTTAAATATTCTACTGTTAAGAATATCCCTAGAAAAATGTATATAAAAATATTTTAATTAGTTAATAAAATTTATAATATCAAAAATATATTACCATATCATTCCTTCTAAAATAAACAGTATCATTTTATTGTGTTCATGACTGTGGACAAATTTTCTATTTTGTTCTATTTGAAGTTCATCCGTTGGAGTCATTTTTAATTCTTCTTTTAATGTAGTCCTTAAAAGAATATCTTCTGGATTGTAAATGTTACAGAGTATGCACAATGTTTTACAACATATTTCAAGCTTCCCTTCTGGTTTTGGTGGTAATTTCTGCAATACAAGAAATATTTATTAAATATTTTTTTTTATTTTTAATATTTTAGGAATAATTATTAAACTTATTATTCCTTACCGGAAAGTGTTCACCTTTTTCAGTCAAAATAAATTCTGATTTCAATTGTTCGCATATATCATTGTATTTATAAATTTTTCTTTGAAGATCTCGTCTTTGAGTGATGTTAAGAAATTCGCAAGTTATACTAACATCTATTTGACAGTTAACACCTTTCGTAATAATTATTACGCGAACGCTTTGAAACTTTCTCGGTTGTATCACACCTTCTTTTGGATAAACTTTTATATCACATAACTCTGATACACTTTCACTATAATTAATAAAAGATATATATATGATTCGTTTAACTTGAATATTAATTGTAAAATAAATTTAAATTAAAGTAATTACAAACTTTTTCCACGTGTAAGCGAATCTATCACTTTTTGTAGTATTGTACATCATAATCATTTTAACAACATGGCTATGCATACTTGTGCATAGTTGAATATAGTCAGTTGAAAAGTATACTGGAAATTCTTCGGATTTGAAAGCGTCAAAATTAGGTAGAATTTTTTTAATCGTTTTAAGCGGATATTCAATAGAAGGTTCACAGTAGATTATTAACTCTGTTTGTTTATCGCCAAGAGTAATAGGAAGATATACCTAAATAAATTTAATTAGTATATATTTAAAAAGAATATGCGCATTTTAAAGAACAATATCAAAACAGTCAGATATTTTGATACTTCAATCTCTTTAAATTGTTTAAGATGAAATTTTAAAATAAGAGGTGTAACAGATCGTGGCTGCGCAATACCATCTGGATTCAAACATGCGAGTATTTCTGAACGACATATTTGATTTATTTTATTTAAATTAGTAATATCCAGCGTATAAGGTAAATAATTGTTTGTATAATTATAAATCCAACATATCTAAAATTCAATATTATAATTTAAAAATATTTATGAGTAAGATAATACAGTAGGTGATCGATTAACGAATAGTTCGAACTGCGAACATGGTCTTTGAATGGATTATATTTGTTAACAAATCACCCACTATATTCAGAAAGTGTTACTTTTAATAATTAACCTGATGTTGAGCTTTTTTATCACCAAAATAAGCATTCCCCAATTTTACAACTGGGCTGTGAAATAAATGAAGTATTTTTTCAGATCCGGATAAAGAATCCACTTGAATATATAAAATAATACGACGTTCATATCCAATATTTAAATCCCATTTTACTTGAGTTTTTCCCAATAATATATATCGCAATTCTATTTCAATCGCAACTATTTCTTTTGGCTTTGAAAGAAAATGCATTTAATTATATTAATTGATATATGTAACTAGTTTAGTGTCGATTGTTTTTTTACCTTTAAAAATCCCGATCGTGGATAAATAGAACATACTTTCTTGTGAATACAATTGAAGTCTATATATCGAAATGAGAGACCGCGTGATTTACTTATCGGTTTACAGAAACATAAATTCTTTCTTTGAATATTCCATATAGTATTCACTGACGTAGGATTAGATATATATAATTTTAAACGTATTGGATTTTCATTTAATATCATTGGTGGAAAATATATGTATCGTGATTCTTCTTCATATGGCAATATATTTTTCAAAACAATATTCAATCTAGAAATAAAAATTATTAGAAATAAATAACATAAAAAATGTCTTTTTTTATAATATATAAATTAAATATAAATTTGATTCAACATACTTATTTACTTGTATTATTTTCCATAACATAACTTTGCTTATCGACGGACAATCTCCATAAAAATGTATGTCTTCAATCTATCGTACAAAATAATAATTATTCCTAAATGAAATTTCTCAAAATAAAAGATTCGTTAACTATAATAAACTTCTCTAATATAAGTATATATACCTTTAAAGTGGGTAATTCACATTTACAATAAACTTTGCATATTTTTTGAGGTAATTGCATATAACTGATATCATCCGTCCAAGAATTAATTCTCACCAAATATTCGATTACCACTTCGTAAAATCCAGGCGTGTATGGAGTAATAGACACAGTGATTTTTTCTGATTTCCCTGAAAGAACAGTTTCGGAGAGCGGAAATATTTTTACATCGCGTGTGATAGATCCAATAGGCCAAGAACGATGGTAACATATTATTTTGAAAGGTATATTCACGAGACTGAAGTTGTAAAGATAAAAACTCTTTATTTTTTCGTTCCCATATGATTGTATATCAAAATCTAATTCATTAGGTATTGCCTGAAAATATAAATCATATTAATATGATAAATTATTAAAAACAAATATATACTATATATATTACCACAAGTAAACCAGCTTCGCATTTCCCAGTAATGCACAATGTTATGCTAACTTCTGTTCCAACAGGTACACCATTTTGTACGATCATCAGAATACATTTAATATCAAAATTATATTCGCCACATTCTGTAGGATGAAATATCCATTCTTGAGAAAGGATATCGTTAGCATAAATCTGGCCCTTCAAATATGGAATGATCAATTGCGATGGTACATCCAAGAACTGATACCTGTAAATTTTATATTATTATACAAATTAATTATGTATTCACATTGATGAAGTTCAATAACGCATTACATTATAGTATGACGAGTAATATTTCTCATAAGTATTGGTTCTTTTTTCTGGGTATCTAAATGTACTGTAGCAAATGTTATTGTACTATTATTAAAACTAATATTTGCGTATTCAGCATATCCTTTAAAGCTAATATAATCTTTGTTCTTTCCATTAAAACATATGGCCCATTGTTCCATGTATATATGCTCTCCCGTCATTTCAGGACATATTTGAACTACCACTACCTGATAATTCCTACAATATTAAAAAACAATTGTTTGATGATCTTATGTGATTCTAATTAACAATAATAGTCATTTTAGAATTTCTTACTCATAAATAATTCCTAACATTGGTTTTACTATGAAATGGCTATCCGCTGGAGGCAAAAACCGAAACATTAAAGGCAAATGGCCAAATTTTTTTATTACAAATGTCGTGTAAACTGATAGCGGTGGAATACATGGTGGTAGTATAATAGTTGATGGTAATTCATACTGAGGAATCCATCCTGCAGAACTAGCAGGAAAAGAATGTCCTGTGAAAATAATAAATAATTTTTAGATAATTAAAAATAAATTATTTCTTTTAAACAGACCTCACCTATTACTCGTAAACATGTAAAGAAAGGAACCGTGAAAAGTTTGTTTTGATTGTTTAAATCATCATCAAATAAATACCCAATAAATTGCTTCGTATATAAATTGTTTTCCTCGTTAGGTTGAAAAATAATTTCAAACAAAGCAGAATAGTTTGGACATATTTTTGCTGTACATGGCTCTATTTTAAAGACTCCTGTATCATCTGAAATATTGTTATTTTTCATTATACTAATAGAATTATTTATTATTGAAATAAAATTACCTTGATCCCACCTGAGTAATAAATTCTTTTTGCTATGATTTGTAAAACAAACAGTTTGGTGACTTCTATTTATTTTATTTTTTATATCAATCTGATTAAAATCGAAATAATTGTTAGACAAAGATACCAATCCTAGATTTCCTTTCTTTATATTAATACTGTCGCTCATATATTCCTCAAAACCATTTAGGGCTTGTGAATTAAATTTATCCAAGTTTGATTTAATGTCGATATCCTGATAAACTGATGTAGAAAATCCATATAATTTAATAATAATTGGATTCTGTAAATATTAAAATATAACATGTTATATTAATTTTATAAATAATACAAATAATGATCAATTAATTTACCTGATACAATATTAAACATGGTAAATGGTATACATAAATTCCTTCTTTAATCGGAGTAAAAGTGATCGTTATGTATTTGTAGTCACCAGGATTAATTACATCCTCTTTGATATCTAATTTAAAATATTTATGTTTTATATCAATGTCGAATATAAATGAAGCTTTTACTTTCGAATGATTCGAAAGCTTTATCTGTTTTTTTACTAGTGCATATTTGCTTGAGCATCTGAATACAATTTTGTTTGCTGATGATGAAAGTGCCGGACCTAAATAATAAATAAATAAATGAATAAATATAATCTTGATTGAAAAAAAACATTATCTATTACATCCGATAAATATCATAGACAATTATTTAACACTTACCAATACAAGTTCCACGAACAATAATTTTGATATATGTAGAAACATTGCCAGTAATAATAAAATAATCCACATTTTTAGAAGATGGTACAAGAGGTCGATATTGTACTTCACATGAGAAACATTGTTCTTGCAACAAAGTCCAAGTATACGATTTTAAATTAAAAACATGATCCATAGGATTAGTTACAGGATCTCTTTGCGCTTCATAAAATTGTTCTTTCTGAAATAAATATAAACTATTAGTTTAATTATTCAAGCTATGAGAGAGAGAATATAGAAAATTGATAAGAGAAATATTATTAAAAATTATAAATATAATAAATATTACTAACACAACTTTCATTATATATCTCAATTGATTTGACAATCGTTTTACCCATTTCAACTTCACCAAAATCAATTATTTTGATATCTTTAGTACTACAGCAATATTGCGACATTGTTTGTTAAATTGAAATTATTCAACCTTTTCCTGTGTTAAAATTTAAAAAAATAAATTATTGACTTAATTTGAAATCTTTAAAAATTCGCTCCATTTGTATATGCAGATAGTAGTGCTATCTACATTTATAGATAATGTAGCGAGAGCATAGGGACTTTGGGTAGGTTAGTAGCGCACATGGCATTAACTAGTGGCAAAAAAAACTACTAGCTCAAGATATAAAATAAGAAACACTCTCTTAGCCTTTGAATCTGTGTGTAAACATAACGGAGCTATATAGGCTCCATGGTAAATATACTGAATAAACATTAAGTATTATGTTTACTAACTCTAGACTCATTCATTGGCCCTTATACCCACGTGAAATAAACCGCGGCATTTATAGCGCGAAAAAAACATCAAAAAATTGATAAATCAATTTTTAGAAGAGAGTTTATATTTTAGTATTTCAAAATTATTAATTATTAAATAATAGAAAAATATCAGAAAAATATGAAATTAATATCGTACATATTATTATTAATTATTTATGAAAAAATGGATAATGTCGTATTATCATCTGATATTGAAATAGATTTAACAAAAACAATAATTTGGGGTCCCGGCTTAAAACCTGACAAAATAATAATGCGGGCAAGATATTTCTTTTTACAGCTTGTAGACACAAATGGTCAAAAGTTAGTAAATATTTTTCTTCTATATAACTTTTTAATGTTTAGTAAATTATATTAATTAAATAATTGTAAATTTATATATATTCTAACAAACTAACTTGAAAAATTACTATGCAATTTTTCTAACAAAATTAATCAACTATAATAAATGGATTAATTTAATTATTTGTATATTAAAATAATTATTATATATGAAAATAATTAAATTGATGAATAAAATAGTTAATAACCATATGCCGCAGCTTAACTGTTTCACCTGGTACAGACATTGTTACCGCTAAAATACAAGGTCAAACTTGGAACAAACAATCATGTCATATATGGACGCAAGTTTTAGACCGTAAAGATGGTAGTTTTATTATGCGTTATAAACTTCATAACACTTGTATGAATATGACTTTAAATATAAAAATAAACAAAAAAGATTTACAAGTACAACAATTAGAAATGATGGGTATGTTATTTGGATGAAATGTAAAATTATTTTTGACTTAAATTATTAAAGATTTTTTTAGGTCCTGCATATGAGGAAGAATGTTATTGTCCAAATATAAACTTTAACGACTGGTTGAATGATTATGATTGTCCAAATAATTACGCACAAATTATTTCTGATCTTACTCCTTTCGTTAGTGTAGATTTTAACAAAATACGTAATTCTTTGATTAAGAAATATAACAAGCCTAACAGCATTAGTCTTTGTCATTACGTTATCAAAAATAATAGAGTAAGCGCTTTTTCTTATTTGTAAACACTCTATCATTTTTGATTGATTTTTAATTTAATTGTATTAGATTTATAGGCAATGCTACGGACAACATATAGGATTTAAAATATTTATGGATGCGATATTGCTTTCACTTGCACGCAAAGTAGTCCTTCCAGATGTTGAATTTTTCGTTAATTTGGGAGATTGGCCGCTTGTTCCAATTAAAGAACTCAACTATCCTATATTTTCATGGTGTGGGTCTAACGATACAAAAGATATTATTATGCCAACATACGATATCACACAATCATCTTTGGAAGCTATGGGAAGGTAGAAAACAATTAATAATTAATTAATTATAATTTTATTCTATTTCCTTAAGTGATACTTACTCGTTTAATTAATATTTCAAAGAAATAACTTAGTTCAGCATCATAATTCATACTATTACAAACGTTAATTAAAATTCTTTTTTATGTGATATGAATGCTGCATCACTAAAAGAGTAATGCTAGATATGCTATCTGTGCAAGGTAACATAGATACCCCATGGGAAAAGAAAATAGAAAAATTATTCTGGCGTGGTCGTGATTCCCGTAGAGAACGTCTTAATCTCATAGACATTTCCAGGAGGTATCCTGACTTATTCAATGTATCTCTTACTAATTTCTTTTTTTTCAAGAATGAGATTGACAAATACGGTCCTCCGCAAAGTTACATTTCATTTTTTCAATTTTTTAAGGTAAACATATATATATAATTATTATAAAATTAATAAATGTATGTTAACATAGAAACCTTTACATATAAGAAAAATATGAATATGTTTATTTTATTTATAATTTCAATTCTATCTCTTTAAGCACAAGTATCAGTTGAATATTGATGGTACAGTAGCAGCGTACAGATTTCCATATTTACTAGCAGGAGATTCTTTAATACTGAAACAAGAATCGAAATATTATGAACATTTTTATAATGATTTGGTACCTGAAATACACTATATACCCGTAAAAAGAGATTTATCCGATTTAGTTGACAAAATTAAATGGGCCAAAGAAAATGATGGAATTGCTTTAAATATTTCTAAAACTGCTAGACAATATGCAAGAGATCATCTATTGCCGCAGAATATTATTTGTTACCACAGCGTGCTGCTTCGAGTACGAGTGAAGAGTCGTTTATTCAAATTATTTACTATATTTTTATTATCTTTAATAAAATAGCATGCTTTATTATTATTATTATTATTATTTTCTTTTTAGGAATGGAGTAAACGTCTTACTAATAAGATCAAGGTTTTAAATAACATGGAGGAAGTTTTACAACCGCAGCATTCCTGTCAATGTAATATTGATGATGTCAATTTAAAGGATGAACTTTAAAATTGTTTAATTAATGTGTTAAACATTTTAATATGAGCTATTCACATTTTGTGATAATTATTATATTTTATGATGCTAAATATATTTCTTTTATTTTTGTTGTTTTTATAAACACTATTTTTTACTATATTACATTATATTTAATGATAAATTCTATGCGCTCTTATTTTTTTTTTAATTACATTATCATTTCTTCTATAATTTAAAGTTTAGAGAGAGAGAGGAATATACATTTGTTGTTTCTATTTGCAAATTCCTTTAAAAAGTATACTCTTTCTTTTTATAATAGAATAAAAGCTTTAGTTAACTATACATGCATCCTTGAAAGAAACATTATCATTTCCATTCTGAAAACAAAATAATATTATGACGTTAACTCATAAGTTGAAATATTTAATTAAATGATGACAAGTACAAAATCTAAAATACATCTTAATTGAACTTACTTTTATATAAGATAATCCAGAGAGAAATAACTCAATAATGCAAAAAATCTACTAACACATGAGATTAAACAAAAAAAAACAAATCTTAATTTTAATTTCCATTAAAACAAATTATCAAATATAACGTATAAAAAAATATTTAAAAAAAAAAACAGAAAAAGAAGAAAAGAAATTCTTAATTTTATATAGAATAATAATTAGAGAGTAATATTTTCTTCAACAATAATACTCTGTATGTTCAATGCGGTAAAAATAAAATTTTACAAAAAATATTTCTCAAATATAGAGATAAAAATAAAGATAGAGATAGAGAAAGAGACAGAGATAGAGAGTAAAACATTCATGTTTGTTTCTTCTTTTCTTTTAACTATAGTTTGTTCTATTGTGGAGGAGGTTGATATCCATATCCTCCATACTGATTAGGTGGTGGTGGTCCTTGTGGTCCTGGTGGAGGAGGCATGTGTCCACCGGGTGGTCGTGGTGGGTATTGTGGATAACCTTGTCCTGTTGGTGGAGGTGGATAACTTTGTGGAGGATATTGGGGATGCCCATAATGTTGACCTCCCTGTGGCGGATGTGGGGTGTAAACCTATAATTTATTATTATTTATTTTAATATAATAATGAAACAAACCAAATAAAAATATTTGATATATATTATAAATTATTAGTTAAATAGTAATTACCTGTGGCTGGCCCCCAGGAGTTGGTGGGACATATGTTTGTGTTGTTGCAGGTCCATATCCTGGTTGCGGTTGGGGTCCCGGTGGTGGTGCAGGGCCCTGGGGTGGACCGGATGATGGTTGAAATCCACTTGAAGCAGGACTTGGGGATTGTTGCTGCTGTGATTGTGGAGGATTTTGAGATTGTTGTTGAGACTGTGGAGGAGGTTGATGAGAAGGTTGATGAGATGGTGGTTGATGAGATGGTTGATGGGGAGGTTGGTGTGGAGTATGAGGAGGTTGATGAGGTGATTGATGAGAAGGTGGATGGTTCGGATGAGAATTAGGATGAGGATTTTGATGAACTGGATAGACGGAAGATGTGGGTACAACAGGAGCATAATTCCCACCTTGAGATGTTGGTGGTGGGCCACTACTTGGCGAATAAGTTTGTGTGGAAGCGGATGGCGTACTAGTTGGTTGACTACTTTGAACATATGTATTAGCGATTGGCGATTGATGTGAAGATGGATGTGATGGATGAGAGCTTGGATGAGGCGTTTGATGAACTGGATAAACAGAAGGCGTTGGAACAGGAGCATAGTTTCCACCCTGAGATGTAGGGGGTGGACCACTGCTTGGTGAATAAGTCTGTGTGGAAGCAGATGGTGTACTAGTTGGTTGACTACTTTGAGCATATGTATTAGCAGCACTTGCTGCCGCAGTACTAAATGGAGGAGAGGTAGAAGCTGGACCATATTGTGTTGGACCAGGACCAGGACTTGATTGATTACCGTAACTGGATTGAGGTCCAGAAGTTTGCTGTGAGCCTGGTTGTGAGGGTTGAGCTGTGCTAGATGTAGGAGGAGGTGGATAGTTTTGCGGAGATACATTATTGGCATAAGCTTGAGAGGAAGGTGGAGGATAAGTTCCTGGTTGGCCAGCTCCGTATGCATTTTGTGGTGGGGGTTGTGATGGAGCTTGTTGATAGTTTGGTTGTGGACTTGGATTTCCATATTGTCCAGTTTGTTGTTGTTGACCACCAGATTGGAAGTTTTGTTGAGATGTATTAGAAGGAGGATAGCCTTGTTGATTTGGTGGGGGAGGTCCATATCCAGCAGGTGGCTGAGTTGATCCTGGAGGAGGATAACCTGGTTGTGGACCATAGCTATTTACTGTTGTTGGAGGCCCATAATTTGGCTGCGAAGATGTATTATATCCTTGTGGCTGAGATGCATTTGGTGGCCCATATTGATTTGGTTGACCAGGCGTATATGCAGCTCCTTGGGGTCCTTGATAATTAGACCCTGGATTTTGATTAGCATATTGAGCAGGATATGCTTGCTGTGTTGGTTGTTGTGAGTATTGAGGACCGCCTCTATATTGTTGAGGTCCAGGTGCAGCAGTAGGTCCTAGACAAACAACAGTACAATTAATAATTTATGATTATTAAATATTTTAATACAAATATAAAGAACTTAACACTTAAAAACATACTGTTAATAGCAGGGCCTTGACCAGGCATTACAGGTCCTCGATAACCACCCTGCGTCATAGGTTGTCCTTGATTAAAATTAGACATTGGTAATGTCGGTTGCGTATTAGGAGGCATATCTGCTCCTGGACCAGCTGAATTTCCTGGACCACTTGGAAGCCCTTGTGGACTGATTATCGGATGTTGTGGTCCATTTGGAATTCCTTGTGGTGGCTTATTATAAACAAAATGTCTTCTTAATATTATACTTCTTTTGTAATTATATTAATATTATAACCAAGTATAATAATTACATATATTACCGGAAGCAATGCTTGTATATTTTGATTAGCATCTGCAATAGATGCCAAATACACAAGGTTACGATGCAACAGTTGTTGATACCTACAAATAAATAAATTAAATGTTTTCCAATTCATTTTTTTCTTAATCTATTTAAACATAAAGATTTAATAAAAGATTTACGCACTGTATACATTCTTGCGGTTTGCCTTTACTTTGATACTCTTGAATAGTCTGTATTAGTTGACTGTTTTCATCGAGCATCTAACAAATAAATAATAGTAAAAATTAACATTTTCATATTTTTCTTGTACTGACATAAACTGACATAACAATATAAACAAATATAATATAAAAATAAAGTAAAACATTGTAAATTACCTTTTGTATCTGTGCTGGCGTTAGAGATGGTCTGCCGCGTTGAGCAAAGGTCACAGACATTTTACAAAATTACGTTTTAGCCTTGAATCGTCGTGAATATATAAAATTTTCCAACCCCTTTGTAGTATCGTTTAGTTCCCTTAGTAAATTTAAATACTAATAAACGATATTATTATTAACATGATCTTTCAGTATCATTATAATGATCGTAAAGATTCTCTCGTATATATATATATATTATTTATATATACGTGCATATGTGTATACATGTGTGTGTAATGTGTAAAACTTTTTGCTATATTATATGATTCTAATAGGATTTAAGAAAAAAAAGTCTTTTGCGATTGATGAGACGCTAAAGATTTTTCCTATTTTTATTTCTTTCATTCCAATATTATTGAACATTTCACTTACGTTTCATCAGAACGGACTTCTTTACGAATAATATATTTAGAATTTCTTAAAAGAGATTATTACCTACACAATTATACAATGGGTGCTTTCCATTTCGATGACTCTTATGTATATCGAATTGTATCGAGTTTTGTCGAGTTCACTCGAGTTTACTCGAACGCGATCGAAACGATTAACGAAAAGCACCCTGTTTGAGGTTGGTAAAATCATAAAAATCAAAAAGAGAGAGAAAGAGAGACAAAGATTATCGATTATAAAACTGAACCTTATTATAAAAAACTTAACCCACAAATATATTTTTAATTGCAAATTCGTTTCCTTTATCGTACTTTGACGTACTTTAGCTTATTTCTTTGTTAACATTGCAATGTAAATTCGTGTGTTAACTCGTGTTCCACAAGTCGATTATTAATTCGATTAATCGAACATATGATAAATCAAACGTGATTGGATTGATTTTATTTACAAGTGGCTATCTTCTAACCAATAAGATTTTAAGACTAAATATCGTATTTTAAAATTAAAAATATCTAGTATTTAATGGAAATTAAATATATAAATTTTTTAAATATATTTGTAAAGACTATAATTAATTATAATTGAATGAAAGTCTTCAATATATTCCGTGTTAATTAAAAATGAAAACATCTCCTTGGTACTTATGTTTGTTTTTTCTGTTATATTTATGTAAAAAAAAAGAACTAAATAAGATTAAATTAATTTAATTCTGTTCTACTAAAGTACCATTTTTTGATTTTTTATATTTAAAAACTGATCCTTTATGCCTTTCTGTCCAAAATTTAGTTTCTACTTTGGATAATATCCATTCTGGATTTACAGCTGCTTCCTGTAATTGTAATTTTTCTGTTACTTTGTCTACATTTTTCTTTCTTCTTTTATAATTTTTTAATTCCTCAACTTCATCTTCAGCTGTTAATAGAATTGTCGAAGAGTTCAAAAGTTTTATACCATTGTTCTTGTTCAATTTATCTTTATTATTATCTTGAATAGTGGTTTTTGAATTCGTTTTGCTATCCCACTGCACCGTCCTAAAAAAAAGAAATACAGTAATAAATGTTCACATACAAGACTTTCATTTACCTTTATTATTTACCTTTCCAATAAAGCATCTAATTGTTTGGCAACAAAAGCTTTAAATGTCAACGTTACTCCAAAATTACAAAAATTATCTTTTTTCTCTAAATCTTTTCTCAATGATTTTGCACTTGTATTATTTAACCTTTCTTTATTTTCCTAAAATAAAAGAATATTACTAAAATATAACTAATATATATCCCCAATGAAAGTAAAATAGGTTAGAAATTTTATTAATTACAGAATCTTTTGTAATTTGAGCGTCGAATAAATTGGATTTCAAAAAACTAATGTCTGCTGCTTCTTCTAAAGCCTTTTTAATTATTTCATCCTCTGAACTTGAAGATTCACCATCACTTATATTCTTGTTTGACATTCTTAAATATGAACATTTGTCTTCTTTTAGAACGCTACTTCAGGTGTAGTAATAATTAATGTCGATTTTTAGGTTATGTTCTTTAGGTTCTTCATACATGTATGAAACAAAAATGACATTAATTGTTACTATATGTATTGTTTTCTGCGATATATGTAATAGCTTTTATTTAATTGTTACAAAAATTGATATATTTCATGTGAATACATCTTTGCCATAACATTTGATCCATGATACATAAAATTCTAATTTTTTCGTACACGCAAATAACATTTTTCTTGATAAGTTATAATTTTGTATTTCATTATGTTGGGTAAATTTTGTTGAAAAATTTTTTTCTTCCTTTGTTTTATGTTTATTAACTTTGATTTCTTTTCGTGCACTTGTTAACAATCGCCAAAGCTCGGAAAGAGCAGCACAAGTATGCGAAGTATCTTGTTCTTTTTCTGGATGTTTTATTATAAAAATACTAGCTTCTACAAAGTTTACTAACGTCTGTTCGTCTTTGGGTAAATATTCTATTTTCATAATATTTTCTTTAACAGAGTGAAGTGCAGATAATTCATTATCAAATGTTTTGTTTATTCTCATGCTGTCGCAGATGCTAAGAAAAATATTAGTAGCTTCTTCTGACAGGCTTAAGTAATCACCGTTGTAATAAAGTGCTACATACGCATAAGCATAAATCACGTTAGTGATAGTAGAACTTAATATTTTTGATGAAACCACCTGAATGTTGAAAAATACAAAATTTACATTATAAAATCATGAAAAGAAACAACGTCAAATAATTTATATATCCATCGTAATATTACTTTCTGTTTGTTAAACGGTGGAACATCTATTATTTCTGGATATTCTGCTTTATGTTTATTATTTTCTTCATTTTCTTCTATCGTGTCCAAAGTTTCTATCAACGACTTTCTGCAAGTTATCCACCATGGTATCCATGGTGGCAATAATGTAGAAGCTTCTCCGCTTTTGACTAAAGCTTTAAATTGTTGTTTCTCGTCGTTGTTTAATACCGCCCATATTTCATCCGGTATATCCAAATTAATATTCTTTAATCTTTCTTCCAAATCAGGTAACTAAAAGAAACATCTATATAAATTTCATACATCTATCGACCTATAAATAATAACTTACATCTGTTTCATCATCTGAGTCTAGCTCATCATCCAAATCTAATTCTTTATCTTCACTATCCATCGTATCATTTTCTAAATCTTGTTCGTTCAATCTCTTAAAAATATCAAACATTTTTAGTTTTGTTTCAGGATCATTTTGCAAAGATTTAAGTTCTTCTTCGACACATTGTTTGTAAAAACTTTCTGTACAATCCAAATGTCTTTCAGATTTATAACAATTTAAACTACAATAACCTATACCACATCTTGGACAATTATAAATTTTTATTTTTTCATTGCATCTGTAATTATCAAAGATTATTGCTAAATATGTAAATTTAAATATAAATAGGTTACAAATTTTTCATTTATTTATATTAAACTAAAATACTTTTTTTTTAATATACTTACAATTTACAATATTTTGTGTTGTCATTTTCACTCACAGAATCCATGATTGTTTAATTATGTTATTTTAAATCTTCATCACTTTTAATTATAATTTTGTAATCACATAAATTATATAAAAAAACAATCCTCATTAATATTCATATGATAGAGGGTGGAGGATGATTTGATGCATTTTAAGATGAACCAAAAAAGGGAGGCGCCACTATGCTTTAAATAATTAATTTGAATGAAAGTTACGAAAAACAATTTCTAATTAATTTTGTATTATTATTTAAAACTAATTGTTAAAAAATCGAACAACGCGAAAACGTTGATTAAATAATTTTATTGCAGACAAAATATTTCTATGATAAGTAATGATCTTTCTGACGGTAAGGAAAGATAGAATAGAATACTATTTCACTTAAAATTGTGACGTAAAGCCGGTAAAAGTAGCTGCAAACGATAGATTACTCCACGTGAGTGATTACTTATAACCTCAAAAAAAAGATTGGTTTCAAAGTATTTTTGAAAAATGAGTACGAGTGACAAAATGCAATTAGATGTGTGGAAAGGTGATTGGGGTTTGCCGTCAATTGATACAGAATGTTTGCAAGTTATGGTATAAAACACATACATGTATCATGTATTTTATATAATAGAAATATTTTAAACATTATAGAAATTAATATCAACTCTGTACTTATGTCATTTTTAATGATTTTTGCTTAAGATAACATTTATGCTTGTTTAATGTAATCTTAATGTTATTGATGCTATTTTAAAATTGTTTATAATTTATTATATTATGCTTATATTATACATTTAAGGTGTATGCAAGATTTAATGGGATACCGTTAGAAGTAAAAGCGACAAATAATCCTTTCAAAACATCGAATGGTCGATTACCCGTATTAAGGACAAAACATACTAGTTTGGATAAAGTTAGCGAAATAATATTGTACCTTAGAAAAACAAATTTTGACTCGATCTCTGAAAACAGCTCTAAAGAATATGCTGAATTTATAGCTTATGATACTATGCTTAAAGATAAACTGTATCCTGCAATGCAATTTATATGGTAAACATTTTTTTATTATAATATTAATTTTTTTCTTCTTTTTTTTCTCTTAAGACATACATTTATAATTTATAAATAATCTTTACTTTAGTAATTTACTGTTACTCACATAGGTGGCTAGATCAAGCAAACCTCAACGAATTAATAAGACCTTGGTATTGTAAAGCTGTGCCTTTTCCCTTTAATTATTATTATCCGAGTAAATTTGAAAATCAAGCTAAAGCTGTGATAGAGACGTTGTATCCTACAGAGGATAATATGACTGTGATAGAAAATAAGGTAATTAGATGTATGCACAAAAATAATTATATGCTTTAACACGGAGGTGGGCACGGGATAAATGTATTCTGCGCCTATTTCCCCGCTCTCAACCATTGTACATAATTCTTGAAATTCTTTTCTTTTTATATCAGTCCATTCTGATTATACATATATTTTATGATCGGCTTTGTATATATGCCCTAATTTAATATATTTTTATGATATATTTTTTATCTCTGTTAAACACATAGTATAACTGGAGCAAGATGAATGAACAAAACTGACGGTACAGTCCTTTGTTAACCCTTCAAATAAAGAAAAATAGAAAGGGTTGGGGAAAGAATAAGGGTACTCCTAAAGTTATTGGTAAGCTACGTGCTCACCTCTGGTTTTATACATTGAAAAATAATAATTAAGACAATCGAAAAACATTAGAGTTCAAAAGAGATTAATATACGATGTAAAATTTGTTATTTTATATATTTTTATATTAACTTATGGAGAAAGATTGTAATCTTATTTTGTTCGTGCGATCGAATATTTGTATAATTAGATAGAAATGTTTATTCTCTTAGGTATATTCAGAGGCTCAAAAATGTTTAACGTCGTTATCAACTAGACTTGGAAATTCAAAATATTTCCTTGGTCAATCCCATACTATGTTGGATGCAGTCGTGTATTCTTATTTAGCGCCATTACTAAAAACACCGTTAGTTAACCCTCCTTTGCAGAATCATTTGAAAGCATGCACGAATTTGGTCAATTTTGTAACGCATATATCGCAGAAATATTTTAGAGACGAATATAATCAATATGAAAAACTTAAATCTGAAAATAATATAAAGAAAATGAAAAAAGATTCGTATTCAGAATTTCCTAACAAACGACGTGATCAAGTATTAGCTGGCATATTTGCTGTAGTAGCTATGGTCGGTTATGCCTTGTTAACAGGAAAATTGGAGGTAAATTATTAAAAATTTCTGAACATTATATTTTCGATAAGTCAATCTGGTTATTTCCAATGAAAAATATATATATTTTAGGTGCCAATAAAGGACAAGAAAATGATTAACGAAGATGATGGATATATATTAAATGAAGATGAAGATGAATAAGATTTATTTTCAGGTATTCAAATAGTAACAATAAAAATTTTGGATAACAGTGTCATAAATATATTATATATATATATATATATATATGATTTTATACTTGATAGTAATATGCGGTTTATCTCTTTGGAAATATAAGCTGTTATTATTATTATTACTATTATTTTGCATTTTAAATGCATGGTTTTTATGTATGGAATTAGAAATTTAGTATTTACTTCTTTTACCATTAATTTTTTCTTGATCTGTGTCTTGAAAAAATTCCAGAAGTAGCGCACTTCATTTCTTCTATGAAACTTTCAAAATTATGGACCGTGGTACCACCTAAAATTATTTGTACACCTGGATTTTGTTTATTTAAATTATATATATTTAAACTTTCTTCGTACGTTGTCCCACCGATCATAAATACAATAATATCTTGTGGCCTATGAAGTAAACGAATAAAGGTATGTTTATAAATCATTAAAGATGCATTAAATAGTTATAGAAAAGTCTTTATATCTACCGTTTAGACATAACTATGTTTCCTAAAAATGGATATGTTTGTGTATTTAATTTTCCTTTTATTAAGTCTTCGATAGTTTCATTTATTAGTGGTGTATGTTGCGTGTATACATTGTCCACTCCATTCAATTCTTTAAATAGTTTCTTCGTGATTTTTACAACTGACTCTTTGTCGAATAGATTATTTTGCCTATTATTAATGCCACTATACTCTAATACATTATGAACAAGCTGTTGAGTAAAAAGAAAATCTTTTATTAACTCACCAACTTATGCACAATAAGAGTGTCGCAATATATATGCTTAATTTACCATAGATATACACGTTAATAATTTATTACCTTAATATATCTCTCGGAAATATTTCTTTTCTTTAATAAGTCTAACAAAACTGAAATCTGATTATTTGCATGATTCTCATAATGAAGCGCATAAAGCATGACTAGTCGTACAGCATCAATTTCCCTTACCCTCTCATCGTTGATAAGTTTTTTTACTCTCTGGAGCTGTGAAAAGAAAAGAAATTTTAGTTTTATAAATAGTTTTATAACTTTGCATTCAAATATACAATATTAACAGATAAAATTAATATACCTGTGCTGAATGATCATTTTGACAACTGAGTTCTTGTTCTAATTCTGATACTTCCAACAAGTTATGTTTTCCTACAAGCGAAGAAAGTTCTCCTACGACAGTTACGTGTTTAGCTACAGTTCCAGACATTTTTTTAAACAGCGGATACGTTTCTACAAAATTTTTCATATCCTCTATACTTTCTACTTTCTGTTGCTTCTTTGCCTTTCCTTGAAACACATCCATCAACTCTTTTATTGTCTGTCCAATTTCACCAAAATTTAGGTACAAGTTCTGTTCGAAAAAATAATATATTTGTAAATAAAAATGTTATAGATAATCCTCAATAATTATTATTTAGATTATTTTCTTACGTTGGCATAAAATTCATCGTGTTCAGCGCTAAGAACGACTTCTTTGAGCTCTTTAGAAATACCTTTGACATGAGATAAGTTAACACGATTATTATTAATTGTTAAGAGTTCATGGACCATAGCTTGATATGTCCATTGATTTAATAATGGTGTAACCGGATCATCTCTTCTATCGACAATGAGTAATACAGGATTAGATTCCTGTCTGAATTCAAAAGAACTTGATTCCTTACTTAATACCTCACGAATTTTCTCGGCTAACTTTTTAGCCATTTCTGAACTATTTTGGTAACGTATGAATGGACATTTCTTAAGGGACAATAAAACTGACGTTATGCCTTGTACCGTTCTTTGCAAATGTTCCAGATTCCATGCCAAGCCTTAAAAATAAATTAATCGTATTTTGACCTTTTTTTTAAATTAATATTCATTGTTATATGAATTAAAAAATATATTAAAGAAATATACTCGCTTGTAATATTATAATACCTTCAGAACATGCAGGAATCCCAAAGGAAAATAAATGTGGGCTAATCGCTAAATAATCAGCATAATATTCGTGAACTTCTCTGACAACTTCATGTTCATCACTCTCAGCCAGAAGTTTGATATCAGCCTTTGCGATAATGTTACTAAAATCTATGCATTTAAATTATGTTTGTATTAATATTTTGATGAAACTTAACATATTATATAAGTACAATGTTATGTTACTCACAAATATAATAAACACCGTATTTAGGGCACTTTAGTTCGTTACAAAGTAAATGAACATTTTCTTTAGTTGGTCTTATGAAAACAATGCACTTTAAATGCTTTAAACTATCAGTATGTAAACCAGAATCTATTCTTTCAAATAGGTAAACTTCTTTCATTAACATCTCCGATTGGCTATATAATAAACTAACTATACTTGTCTGTAAATAAAAACATTGGAATGTAAAGATTAAAGAAATAATAATAAATTTTATATAATTTTTATACACATTACATCTAGCAGCTGACAAAACATCTTTAAAAGATTACTAAATAATCTCTAATTGAACAAATGTATATAAATTTATTTATGTCACAAACTATTTGAAATAAAATTTGATAGTATTTTTTTAACAAAATTAGATGACTAATTTACCGTTTGCTTATCCATTAGAAGAACCTTCATACTCGGTCCAGTTTCATCTGTCATTTTTGTAATATAAAACTTTAAAGCTGTTACCACACTCATTTTGACGTATATTCAAATACTATTTTATACGTAATAAGTTATACTATATTCTTATCATTCGTCATATGATTTGTATTTATTTTTCTTTTATTATTTAATTTAATCAGCACCTTTTGAACACTTTTCAAGTATCATGAAATTAGGTTAGGTTCGATCGTAGCACCAAATTTTGACATTGGTCAACAAATGCGATGTCAGTTTCTAAGTGTTTTGCATTAGAAAATTCATTCCCAATAAATTCGTACATAATTCAACATCTCTTACACTCTATTTTTATATGATATAATTAGAAGAAAAAGTTCTCATTAAAAATGTAAATTAATCATATTAAAATAATTTAATATTTCAAAAATACATTATTAATTAAACAAAAATACGCGTACTATATATTTATTAAAGATAACAAACTTCGTTGATTAATTTTCGATCTTTGACAAATAATAACAGATTTTTAAAGACTTATGTCAATACACAAATAATTATTGGAGTATGTTTTTATGAAATTTACTGTTACTTCGTGACGTTTAAAATGTCTTACTCATGGCGCAACATTATTGGTTAACAATTCGACGAATCACAATCGATCTTGTGTACTTGAAAGAAAAATGGCATGATTTTTAATAACATGTTTTCGTCATTAATTGATTAAGGTAATTAAAATATTCTTTAATTAATTGGTATAAATATTTTCGTTACATGAAAAAACATCAAATTATTTGCATAAATACTTTTTTGTATATATATTATCTATAAGATAATTGTGTAAGTATGGAATTATATTAAATATGTTCGAAGTACGATTAAAAAATTTAAACAAGACACCTAACGTTCTAATAGATTAAGTAAAAGATTAGAATTAATTTATTTTTTTATAAATCACAATGAACCATAAAAATAATTATGAAACGAGGTATAGTTAGGTAAATATTTCCTTTACCCTAAACACAATCTGCAACAAGTGTCTGATCGATTACACCACTTCATTCATCAAACTATAATGCGTAGTTTTTTTTAACATTAAACTTAACATAAATATTTAATTTACAGGAATTTACTGAATATATTAATTGCAACAATATGATTGGCCTTGGATAAAAAAAAATAAAAAAATTAATTAAATAAAAGAAGAAGCTCGTTTGAAATGTAAATGATAAATAATAAAAAAACAAACGACAACAATTAGAAAGCTCAAACAAAAGGATATTATTAATCATGAATATTAATTTTAATAGTATAATCCACCTACTGTTAAATTATCAATTCAATAAAGAAAAAAATAAACGTATTATAGATAGAGAGATAATAGCGATCATATTACAGTGAAACGAACGTAAAACAAGTCGGACAAGAGGAACACTTTAAAATAGTTCCAAGTATTATTGATATATATAAATGGTATAGAAAATGACACGATGTAACTTGATGAACAGTATTATCAAATGATCCTCTTTATTGTATCAACAGTATATCTCACTTTCATGTACATGCTTCCTATCCAGGAATGTCCTCCTCTCTCTCTCTCTCTCTCTTTTTCTCTTTCTATTTCTCTTTCCCTCTCTCTCTGTTTCTCTTTCCCTCTCTCTTACTTACTCTTACCCTCTTCGTTCTAGCAACGTAGCAATCGATTTGAAATCCAACGCATGCCCTCCTCGTTTATCGTACCAAGAGTTGTTCACTCAGTCAGTGGCATTAGAACTATCGCACCAGATACATACTACTTAACAAAGGGTTATGATAGAAAACTTTAGCTTCCATTTGATGTCCAAGTGATTGTAAAGAAGACACATAAAAATTCGACTTAATCCAAGATGATATTAAAATTTTAATCGATAATAATCTTTCTTTCCGTGTGCGCTGTCGAATTTTCAGGTGAGTCCAATAATCCTTCAATTAAATTCTTACGAACCGGAAAGAGTGGTGCCATCGCATGTACCACGCAGTTAGAAGATGAAAGGGGTGGTGGTGGAGCTGGTGAAGGTAGTAGTGATGGTAGTAGAGGGAAGGAGAGGGATGACAACCTGATGCTTCCGACCCTTTAAACGGTTTCTCTTATTGTCATAAGGATTCCACCGATTAAGTCTTTTTAAATTCGTGTCAAATTAAATCAAATTTCAGAGTCTATACATAAAAAAACAAACAAAATAAGTAAATGTTTATCCGATTAATTTCTTTTTTAATTACACGTTACGTGCTTAACGCGCAATATGGAACTTTTCTTGGTTCTTTATTTCTTTTCCTTTTTCGCCGTGTTAATTTACAGTAAATTTATATAGTCGGAAGGGTTGTTATGGGAATTATCGTAGAACAACAAACCATTGAAACTGCTGCCTTGTAAACTTCGTTTACTTTTCACAAAGAAAACAGCTGTCACACCTATACGATACGCGTCAATCCATTCTGATTGACAAATTCTCGAATCAATTTCATTCGTATCGAATTGTGTAAACAGAATTTCTGTCTTTTTTATTAATACTATTTTTAATCAAATGATAAACAAATTTTTATCGTTTCAAATGAACGAATATATAAAGTATTGTATTTCATAAAAATTTCTTATATTCTGTTAATTTTCTTAAAAGTTTACTTTTTCAAATAATAATAAACTAAGATAAACTTTTAATCGCAATTTCAATTTAATTGAAAAAATTTTATTCAATCAAGCACGCAAATTTTTAATTTTTTAATTTGAACATTGAGATTTTGTTCCTTATATTTTATTTGTATTAAAAAAAATATATATATTAAATATATTTACTTAATCTTATGTATATTCGTATATAAAATTATAACGACCTGTTGCCATTCTCCCTTTCCTCTTCTCCTTACTTCCCATCTCCCTCTCACTCTTTCTTTAATAAACATATTTTACATATTTAAAATATAAATAAATATATTAATAAAATTTTTATTTGTATTATATTTCTTGGTGTAAAAAATATGTTGATAAATCCTCTTTTAAAATGTTTATATAATAATATTAATGAACATTTTTAACTCTCTAGACAACAACGGGTGATTACGTCTTAAGGATTGGATAAATTGACTTGATAATATTCGAAAGAATATTTATGGGTTGTAAACCTTTCTGGCACCGAGGATTAGAGCTGTTATTGCTCTATATCCTCCACCATGGTATACTTGCTGATGGTGACGTCGGTGAGTACTCTAATTAACGATTATTTTATTATCTAATTCTTATGAAAAACTATTAATTAATTTATATCAGGACACTGATTACTCTTACAGTTTCATTTATTTTTAACCTTAACTTTCTCAAGCTCGTAGGAAAAAAATTATTTCAATTAAGAGTTTATCTTAACTATGAATGTATGTTGCGGATATTAAAAAAGTCATTTATTGTCACATAAAGTGCAACTAAATCTGATAGGATTTTATTTTGATAAATTACATTCGTCGTTTTATATAACAAGAAAAAATGTTTTAGATAAAAAGTAATATGCAATCAATGTTGAAATTGTATCGTTGAAAAAAATAAAAATTTGTTTGATTTGTTTGAAAATGAATATTGTAAAATATTATTTATTTTATAAATAAAGAAACAATTTGTACGTTTGAATGCACTTCGTTTTTTGTTTTTTTTTTTCTAAAATATAAATAAGTTATAAATCTTTGAAAGCTCATTGATCCGCATGAAATGTATGAAACATTATGTTTCGTTTCTTCTTAGGTCGCGTATATAATAAGTTGTATTATTGATCGACGAATTTAATAAAACGTGAGACCAACTACTTTTACGTGGGCGTTCGATGTTCCCCCTTCTTTTTACTTTTCATAGAAAAGTTCATTTCGCAAAACCGTTTTCCTCTTTTTTTTCTAATATTTCATTAATTTTTCATCTTCCAACCCACGTGTATTTTCAACGAAATTTTATAAAAATCTACATCATTATTAGGTTCATTTCACCGAATAGAAAAGATAACTAACAAAGGAGTCTCACAAAAGAAAAACCACATATTTGTATTTTTTTTATTCTTTTCTTACGGTCGTTTTTATACCGGCATAAGTTTGAAAGGTTTTTGAAAGAATTGTCATGAAAACTTAAACCACCTCATAAACGTAACTTCCATCCACTCAATAAGATGAAGTTTTCTTTTACCATTATTACCTCTCCTAGAACTCACATTCATCCACCTTGACCTTTTTATTCTGATTTTTCAAACTTTCCATCGCACGTAAACACATATATTTATATGCACATTTATCACGCACTCATTATTTTCGTTGTTTACTCTATCACCTAATGGTACGAATAACCAATCGCATTAATATACAATTAATTCCATCTACATTTTCAAATTATTTCCTATATAAACAAAACAAAATAAAAATAAATAAAAAAACATTAATTTCAGAGAATTCATTTTTATATTTTTCACGTGATTCTACTGTTGCATGCAATTAATCTGATATGTGAGCCAATAAACTTCCAAGGTTTTGATTATGAAACCTAGCTTACATTTTTTTGTATTATCAAAATTAAATTATGATATGTATGTCATAAGAAACCTTATAGAAATTTATTGGAAAATTACTGAAACCATAAACAAAAATTTTCGTATTAAAAAGAAAAAATTTTTAATAAACCGAATCAAATAATCATATTTTTTTATTTCAATTAATGTATTTAATAAATTTTTAAACGATCCTCAACAATTTAGAATAATTTATACGTTCCACTAACTAAGTAAATGAATAAATAAATGAATGAATGAATGAATGGATGAATAAACGATCGGCCGAAAGAAACTTCAACCGTGATCGATATCGGTATCGGAAAATAGTGAATGATAGCTCAGGGCCTAGGACTTTTGTTTAAATGCAACAATACGTGCTACCCATGCTACTTAATAATGAATGCCATAAACGTTAACAATGTTTTTGTTTGACGTACGAGTTATAAGTAGTAGCAGATTGATATCGTAGTAGTTGGAGCTTGAAAATTCGTAAAAATCTTTTGAATGGCAATGTTAAAATAGATGATGCAAATATCAGGGAGGAAAACAGAGCTTGAGTTCGATTTTCGCCTACGCAATTTTAGCAAAACGGTTATTGAGCCGTACATCCATAGCACAGCCCAACAGCCAACACAGCCACCGCCTTCAATTTCCACTGTCTTTTTAGTTCGAGGCCATTTCCCACGCCCATTATTTGTTTTATCTTTCTTTCTTTTTTCCATATTTTCCTATCTACATTCCCTCATATTTGTATTTGCATTTTACTCGAAATATTCCATTAAAAATTTCTTTTATTATACGGGTCTTTTTATAATTTTCTACCTACATTTTCATAAATATCATTATTCTTTGATATTTCTCATCATTGCGTTTGGTATTAAAACAATAAACAGCTTAACAGTAATGCGCGTGGGAAAAGATTTAAATTATGCTTACAAAAGTCTTTCATTTTTTATTTTTTTTGCATGCCTATTTGTATTTTTTTACTTTTGAATATTTTTGTTTCTTTTTAAGGTTTCTTTTTTGACGAAATACGGTTCACTTGCGAAATCTGTTAACCGCCACTTGTTATTTGTGTGCCTGTTATTTAATAACTGAATTGAGATACGACAGATGGCTGACGTTTCATTCATAAAATCTGGCTTTAGCTATTTTTTCTATCTTTTATGACGAGATAAACAAAATATCTTTTTTAATCGTTATTATTATTTCTATTCTTTATTTTTATTCGTAGGATGTAGATTTAATATTAATCTTTGCGATTCCCAAACTGAAGTATGTTACGACGGTGAGTTTTTCAATAATTTTGTATTTGATACAATTGTTATCTTTCCTTAATTATTATCTTTTATCTTATATTATTTTACAGATTTAGCATTTGGAAAATGTATACCTTTGTACTCTAATTTCGATGAAGAAGATCTGTATCAGTAAGTTGTTTAATCAATTTTAAAATTGATATTAAGAAAAAAGAAATTTGATTGAAATAAAACTCTCTTACATTTTTAATTTACATTCTAAATTAGGTATAATTTAGACACTGAAAAATTGAACATATTACAATTACAATTGCAAAGATTAGAAACTGAAGGATACAAATGGTCTCATCCATATACCCAATGCATATTACGAACTTCTTTATATAATCTTCGGCATCGGTATGATATTATCATTTATTCAATAATTTATTACCCAATTTCATTTTAATCTTGGTTAAATGAAATGAGATTAAATATCTTTTAATATTGATTATTATTATTAGATTGGAAAAAGATCTTCAGAATTGTCAATATTTTATGGAAAATAATAGATACCGTTTGAAAGATGAAGATATCGTCGATGAAAAGGATAAAGTAAGTAATTTGTCAGTTGTATAATAGTACAAGGTGTTCGAGATTTTTCCTGGCCAAACAGTATTAGCGTATTCTATGCACGAATATAAAAAACAAATTTTATATAAAACATAGGTCATTATGTAAAGTACACTCATTTCTTTTAAAACACAGTTTAATACAAATAAAATAATTAGGATAATCAAATTTTACTATAAAAATTTATTGAGTCGTGATTTATAGAAATTTTTATAGGAAGATTATCCTAATCTTTATTAAAACAATCTTGATTTTTTCAGTTTACCCTGTTATAAATCAATTTTTATTACAGGAAACAGTACCCTTCGCGATAGTGAAATTTACGCCAAACGATGGTAATTCCTATGGAGAATTTGCTAATGAAATTTATTATCCACCTGGTAGTCGTGATGAGTCAGCAAGATTATTAATGAATGATAAAGAATTTCTTGATCTACCATACGGTACGAAAAATGATCCTGAATCGGAACCGATGCATCAATTATATAAATTAACGTACTCCTCGGATCCTTACAACAAATATTCTGCGATTAACGACGATGATATTTATAAAAAAAAGTTGCGTAAAAAATCTTTGAGTTTGGACGAAATCAAAGGACAACTTTATCAATCGGAACCCTATTCCGTGAATTCCAAAACACGCTACGATAAAGAAGATTTGAATTTATTTAAGGACGCATTGGACGATGATAATCTGATTAGGAAACTTAACACTAATAAACATTTTCAAGATACTACAATAAAGTCTACAAACAATTTGGATTTTTTGAACAACGATAGATTTAAATTCGATGAATCATACGATGACAATTTTGAAACTGCTCCTGAAGAGGATTATGAAAAAACTTTTTCGAGAAAATATAAGCACCCGACAATCGAATTCTTAAATGAGGAACCACTGTGGAGGGATAATACCAAACGACATGTTAACATTTATCCAAATTTTGATTATCAAAATAAAAATCTTGCCGATATGGAAATGGATTTGCAAAGAAACGATGATTTTGATTTGCCTAGGGAAGATGCATTGTTCACTGAAGGAGGAATGGTCCAATCTTTGAACCCGTCGACTGGTCCTTCGGATGTTGATGGTAAATTAAAAAAAAAAAAGAAACATATACGAATAGAAATTGTCATTGAAATTAATTTTCTTAGATGCACCATTTAGAATTTATCTCGACGATTTGGATGCAATTTTACTCAGACGCGAATTATCAGGTTTTAAACGACGAGAAAGATTGGATGTTAAAAAACCAGGCCCACTTTTTTCAACGAATAATCATATATTTAAAATGCAAACCCCTATAACTCAAAAAGATTCTATTACTGAAACTACCACAGTGCAAGAAAATAATAATGTAAGTTTACAATCTATAACCATGTTTAACGTAATATAAAATCACATATTCTGTTTTTAGAGCGATGTTCCAATTTCATTACCGGTGAAAAAGGAATTAAAGAGTAGCGTTAAATCTTACGAAGGGTCTTATAAAAATGTTGACACGGATCATGTTTACATCGAATTTCAACAAGAATTTCACACTTGGTCTGAAGGCGAGCGTGTTGTTAATGAGGTACTTAAAAATCGCATGTTATTAATATTAATTTAATCTATAATCTAAATAAAATATTTCTGCAAAATTGTTCACAGGTTAGTAGATTATTGAATTTAAATCCTGGAACTTTGAAAGACATTAGAGTTGGACGCGCAGAAGTAACATTCAAAGTTACAAAAAATAACATGAACTTTAACTCTACTGACGTTGTAAATAAAATCGGTAAGTATTTGTAATACATAAATATACGCATATGTATAAAAAATACAAGTAATTAGTTTATTTAATTTGCTAATTTATTTTTATTTTTTATAATTTTTTTTTTTTTAGATGACATACGAAACAATTTACGAGATACTCTAAGAGTAGATGTGATTCGTGCAGGCATTGGAGATAAGGTTTCATATTTTTCTTATATTATAAACCATCCTATACTTAGTATGTAACAAATTTCGTTCTATGAGCGTAGATATAATTGAATATATTTGAATCAGATCAATTTAAATAATTTGATTTGATTCGAATTTTTAATTCCCGCACATATGCAATTATTATTTATTTCTTTTTAAATAATTTCATTTAATTTAAGGCAAAATTACCTGCAACTTTGGAAGTACCAAACGATTTAGAAATAAGTTCGTCGTTATTTGGAGCGATAGTAGCTGCTGGAATAGCAGCTGCAATAACAGCAGCAGTAGTAACATTGGTAATAGTACGACGTCATGCAAAATCACGAGAAAAACTCGCAGGACTGGCTACACCTGATCCCGAGGCTTCCAAAGATTATCAAGACCTTTGTAGAGTAAGAATGCAGGCTAAACAAACACCAGAAAAACAAGAACCATGGCGTCCCTCGTCTTCGCGTGAAAATGAAACGAATAATTTTATATGCGATCGTTCCAGCACATCTTCTTGGACCTTTGACGAACCTGCTTTTTCAAACATGGATATATCAACAGGACATATGGTTCTAGTAAATAAAAATAATTTTTAAAAATATATTATACATATACAAGATGTCCCAAAAGTTGCTTTATTGAGAAATGAAAAACAAAATAAATATTATATGAACAGAGAGTTTGCAAAAATAATGATTTAATTATTGATATTCTTAATTGCAGAGTTATATGGAAGATCATCTGAAAAATAAAGATCGTTTAGATCAGGAATGGGTTGCATTGTGTTCTTATGGAACATCCGCGACCGATGTCGCAGAAAATGATACTAATGCGAAATATAATCGTCCTAATGCTTCACTTCCATACGATCATTCCAGAATTGTATTAAAGGAACTCACAAACGCTAATAACTCTAACTACATAAATGCATCGACGATTGTAAGTATATTTTGAATCGCATGAAAATGAATATTTTTTAATGTTTATAGACCGTCTTTTCTCATTATATTCTTACGAACATATTTGATTAAACGTGCACGACATTCGTGTCTTTTCTTTGTTCTTATCGGATGCCGCACATGAATACAAAGAAACCGGTAAGTCACACGATTAGCATGGAGAATCTTTTTAGAAAATTCGCTAACAATAAGTTATGCTGAATGAGCAATAAAAGAAATGATATCGTTAAAATAGTTTGAATAAAAAATTTCATAGATATTGAATAGCATGAATATTAAAATACTAAATTGTTACATAAATTGTTTACACTCATTCATAAAGCGATAGTTAGTTTACTATTAATACATAGACTTTTTACAAATACACACACATATCAAATATGTACAGTCACGATAGAGCTACAAGTGCCAACAAAAATATAAGGTAAATAAAAATTATTTAGAAAAAGAAAAAATTATCAAAAATTATATAAAAAATATTTTAGAGATTAGAAAAATACATTTTTATTTATATGGTTAGTGTATCTTGTAAAATTAATAATAGTTTATATTATTTAAAATATTGACCAACACAAATAACAGTAAACAATCTATTAAATACTATTCCTTATTATATGCACTGTAAAAAAAGCTTTCGTGTGACTTGCTTAAAATAAAAGAATATTAATGCTAAAAAAAGTTAAGAAAATATCTATCGATCATTAACTGATTTCTACTTTTTAGACGGATCATGATCCACGAAATCCAGCTTACATTGCAACGCAAGGACCCTTGCCAGAAACAACAGCAGATCTTTGGCAATTAATATGGGAACAGGGTAGCGTTGTCATTGTAGCATTAACTCGACTTACCGAAGATGGTCGGGCTATGTGTCATCGTTATTGGCCAGATCAAACTGAAGGATCCGAACGATATCATATTTATGAAGTACATTTGGTTTCGGAACATCCATGGTGTGACGATTATTTGGTCAGATCTTTTTATTTGAAAAATTTGCTAACTGGTGAAACACGTACTGTCACACAATTCCATTTCCTTTCTTGGCCAGAGAATGGTGTACCTCACTCAACCAAGGCATTACTGGAATTCCGTAGGTATGTTCTTTAAACATTTTCTTTCTATCACTGTGAGAGAGACATATTAAATTCATTAAATTTTTCATTAAATTATTAATTTTTTGTGTGAATTGTAGGAAAGTTAATAAATCTTATAGAGGTCGATCCTGTCCCATTGTTGTTCATTGCAGGTAAGTGTAGTATAGTAATAGTTGTAAGTATAGTAATTTTCAGTAATATCTTATAATTAAATTGTAAGTATAGAGCATAATATAGTAAGTTTTTAAATAATTTTTAAAATATATTATAAAAATATACGTTAGGGAGTGGGGTGAAAAGTTTTGAAACTACGTCGCAAAATAAAAGTGAGGATCTAAAATTTTCAACCTCTCCCCCTCGTATAATAATAATAACTTTCAACAATAAAACATAATGTAATAGTTTGCAATAATATAATAATAATTATATAATTAATTTTTTAGCGATGGTGCTGGTCGTACTGGTACCTACTGTTTGATTGACATGGTCCTAAATCGTATAGCGAAGGGAACTAAGGAAATAGATATTGCTGCAACATTAGAACATATTAGAGATCAAAGACCAAATATGGTTGCTACTAAACAACAATTTGAATTTGTATTAATGGCTGTCGCGGAAGAGGTACACGCGATCTTAAAGGCCTTATCCATTCCTTCGAACGAGAACGTACCAACTAAGGAAAATATTTCCTCATCACCTACGAAATCTAATCAGTGGCTGTAACCTATTAACAACAATCTTCGTGGAAAAATCCGGACTGGCGACCACAGAGAAAGTACTACGTAATTAAGTCCAATGTACCTTGAAGAATGGCCAAATATCTAATAGTAAATGTATAATCATATTGATATATTCTATTGAAATAACTGCTAGTTTCTTCTATAAGTTTCTATCACTTTGTCTTTTGATCAATAATATTTTGAACATTGTATACACTATTTAAGATGATTCTCTAATTGGTTTTAGAATTGGGCTATATATAAATATACATATATATGAAAAAAGAACAAAAAAAAATGAAAAAAAATCAAGTAAACAATTTAAAAACAAATGGATTACACAATAACGAACCATTAGAGTATTAACTAACTCTCAAAGCAATGCTTCTTATGATTAAATATTATCGAGCGTTCTAGTATATTAATCTAATTGCATTATTGCAATAAACTGATATACTATACACACACAAAATCTATTTCGTCCTATAGAGTAACAAAACTAACAAACAAACTATATAGTAAATATTTCTACCTCAATATGCGCTTCTGATTCTTCTTTTTCATTTCTTTTTTCTTTTTCATTTACAAAGGATATTTATTTTTGAAACAAATAATAATTACGTATTATATAATATATATTAAATATATACTAGGTGTCCTGTAACTAGTGACATAAGCGAGCAGATGGTGATTCTACATAAGAAACTAACTTGAAAATGTAAAATCAAATTTGTTCAGAAAAGGCTTTGTTTTTGAGAAAAAATTGTATTCTACATTTTCACCCTTTGCTTACTTACACTATTTTCCCACTGTTAGAGGACACCCTATATATATTTGGATGTATCAGTCAGAGAGATACGGCCTATAGAGAAATATTATTGAAAATTATCTAATTTAAAAGAAAGAAAGAAAAGAAAAGAAAACCCTTACGAATAGCAGACATACGTTTCACTCATAGAAAAGCATATAGAACAAAGAAATTGTGTTATTAGATGGTATTTAAGAGATACTTATGTATGAAGTATTTTTGTGCTCTGATATAAAAATATTTATAAATAATCGCGCATCGTATATGTCATAAGATGAATATCAAGATTAGAACAAATTTTTATTTTTTTTATTTAATTCTAATCTATCAAGATTGTCTTGTACAATCAAAACGAAAATATCAAATTTCAATATTTAATATTTTAAGATGTTATTCTATATTCCTTTGCTATAATTAACTTGTATTTTTCTATGTTTTTTGTCGATTGATATTAGGAAATCTAATATCGTAATATTTCAAACGAAAGCTAAATCTAAATCTCATATCTGATAGTACACATTTTATGGCAACTATAAAAAGGTGCTAAAAATTAGTATACATCGTATATTAGAAATTACGCGAAATATTCTAAGAAAATCTTTGAGGAAATTTTTAAATTTTCGTTTCTAATCAATAGTATTTTTTGGTAAAATGCAATTTTTTGTTGCAATTACTTTTATTCACACACACACACGCGCGCGCGCACGTATTAATTTATAAGAAAAATGATTGGATCGTACGATTGTGTGTGTGTGTACACCTTATTTGTTGCTGAGTAACATTATCATTAAAAAATATGATAATAAACTCTGTTGATGTGGTAGAAATGGTATAGATTGTATAATGTATATGTTAATATTACCAATATTATAATATTCTGAAAACAAAACATCATCTATACTTGTCTAAAAAAAGAAAAAATATTTTTATTATGTCAATGAGATTTAAACCTTCTGCTGCAATTTTTCTATCAAATATTTTATCTTACTGAAAATCAAAAAGAACTAGCAACTTTAGTTGCATTAAATATCATTTTATTACAAATTTAATATAAAAAAAGAGAAAATATTAAAAGAATAAAATTTTTTAACATTATTTTATTTTATTTTGTGTTTATGTAAATATTCAAAATTTTATTCAATATATTTTTATCATTTTTTGTTTTTTTAAATAATTATTTAGTATGTACAATTAAATTATGAATTATACGCAAAAATTGCAATGATGTTGATATTGTATTAATATATAAACATATAAATGTTTAATATTCTTGAATATATTGAAACCAAGAATACGTCCAATTGAAATATGTGAAATATATCTTCCTGGTATTGATTATCAATTTTGATCTCATTGTCAGTAATCATTCAAGTTTAAATATGAACGTCATATTTTTATAAAATATTAATCGTATTTTCTTTGTCATTTTATTTACTAAATTATTTTGTAAATAGTCAATAAAGTGGCAGAACATATTTTTCATCATTATACATATCAGTAATAAATAATCGAATATTATATTTTTAACTATACAAACACACACATATACACATACATATTATATATATCCAGAAAATTGTTGAACTTATTTTAATTTGACATAAAGAATAAATATTCTGGAATATAATACAATTCTACATAAAAGGGAGAAAACATTTTCAAATAATGAAGTACAAAAATAAAATGCTCCCTTTTTTGATTATGCTTTATGCACTTCATATTTATGCGATCAAATTTTTTGCTCGAAATACAGAACGAAGATAATATCTCCTATATATAACTGTATTTTATTCAAAAGAAAAAATAAATATTAAAAAAAAACATATCATAATTTAATTGCAATTTCTAATAATTATATATATAATGGTATTTTCCCATATTAATTCTATCTACAAAATTTATGTATATATTATTTAATTTTACAAACAAAATTCTTTTAATTATTATTACTACGCACTATCTGAGCCAGTATCAGGCAAAAAAGGATCCCAAAAACCTGTAAAAATAATATTTAATACGTAATAATATTTTCGTGCATTTTACATCAATATGTATTTGTAAAGATTAAAAATATCCATATAAATTACAATTTTACCTGGTGGCGTTGCATTTCTGGAAAAATATGCATTTTTATGACGAGAACATTGATTTATCCGCCTTTGTATTTGTGTATCGGAAACACCTGCTTCACTTTTATAATACTGTAATAAAATTATGTGTTTAAAAAAAATATTTAAATTGGATAATTCTATATTGATGTATACTTTTACGTGACCAAATCTATTTCATTTTATATTAATTTTTATATTACCTCGATACATTCCGAACAACTCCATTTTTTATTTTCCATTTCTATACCTTTTTTATCCGATTTACTTATATTGTTACATTTAACAGGATTTATTCTAATATTTTTAAGTCTACAAATGAATAAATACTTAAAGTATTATACAACGTGAATGAATAATATTTCTCAAGCTTATTTGAGTATATATATATATATATATATATATATATATAGACTCAATAATATAGTTTGCGTTATACCTAAGTGAATTTCTATTAATCACTTTATTTACATGAATAGTATTTTTTTTCGGAGGTTTTTCTTCAAAATATGTTTCGTCTCCGAATGTACACTGAAATTCATTTAATTCATTAGATTCCTTCTGTTTAATACATGCAATTCTTTCAGAATTATTCTTATCTACAAGTTTTTTATCCGATTCAATATCTTTGGAAAATATCAGGCTTTTCTTTGCACTATTCTTAACCGTTTCTGAAGATAAAATACTATTATCATTAATAACAATATTTCGGTTTTTGGTTGGGTATACATTATTTTGCATTTGCATAGAATTATTAGTGGACGAAGCAGATGCTTTTATTGTGTTAGTCATTTTAGATTTTCGTTTAAGCTTCAACCGATTCTTATTTTGTAATTGTACTTTTTGGTAATCCGGACTATTTGCTATTACATCCTCAAATATTGTCTCATTTTTATCATTAGCACCGTCCAAATATATATCATTAATTTTTTCATCCATTGTAGTTTTATTTTCTTTTATGGTATCTTCTATGGAAGATTCACGATTACATAAAGATTTTTTAAACCTTGTTATTGGTATGTTTTCATTAGTAAACGATACAGTAGCAATATTAACATTCTGTTTAGTATTATAAAATGAAAGTTTCGGTTGTCTTAATTTTTTATTATTTGGTATTGAACAAGATTTATAAAATGTAGATTTGTTATTGTCAATCTTATTATTTGTTTGATCACCATTATTATGAATTACATAAGTACTCAATGGATTAGCGATATTGTCTAACGCTTGTAATGGTATTTTACTCTTCATGGTTTGCTTCTTTTTAGGACTAACTTCATTATCATTCGATTGTGGTTGACAAACTTGATCAAATAATTTTTTTCTGTTCCTCTTATTAAATTTATTATTAATCACAGGTGTGCTCTGAATGATGAAAGGCGAAAGATTATCAGAAGATATATCAGCTAAATTTTCTTCAGGTATCGTAATAGAAAAGGTATTTTTACTAGTATTTTGTTTGTTATAATCTAATTTACTATCAGTCTGTGTTTTATCTAAAATGCTTTTATCCTTACTGTTCGTAGAAATTTCACTTTCAAAATTACCAGATCTTTCATTCTTTCGCATAAATATTGGGCTTTCAGGTAAAACAGTATTCGTTGTTTTAGGTTGAAATTGATAAGTAGTATCATTGACATCCATCATCAAATCAAATAAGGAAATTTCTGAGATGTTATCGAGTAAGTTTTGACTTTCTTTTCTATCTTCGATTTCTTTATTTATGGATAATTGATTTTTTTGATCTGCTGATTTATTTAAAAGTTCATTATCCTCAGCGAACGCGTGTATAGTTTTTAAACTGAAATAAATACCATAAAACATCATTATGTATCTCTAATCTTTGAACATTAAAATGATTACGTATAATATAAGTTAAAACAATGTATATACATACACATTTTTTTCCTTCCACGCTTCTTGATTTTCATTACGTACAGAACTATCAACTTCGCATTTCTTAACTAAATCCAAATATTTATTCCACAATTCTACAAAAACAATAATGCAAAGTAAGATATTTTCATATATAATATTTTAATAATGAAATATTACTAACCAAGTTATACATGATAATTCACACATATATACAATACACATATTTAATAAATATGTAATTAAATGTTAACTATAATTAAAAATATTAAAAATCAATGATTAACCTTAATCTTAAATATATCATGAATCAATATTAAATAACAGATATTATTGTACGAATATAAATATAATAATCATTATTTAATTAATATATTAAATTAAAGAATATCCCTATAGAAAGATAAGAAAAAGTTTATACAAGTAAATCTTTTAAATTATAGTAAAATATATATATTTATACATTTACTTACTTCGATACTGCTCGTACGCCTTTTGTAAAATTAATGCAAAGGACTCGGTGGCAATCTTAGCTGTTTCATTTTCTACGGAATAATTAAGCCGTAGAACGTTTGACATCGTGGTTAACAATTATTATTTTTTTTCGAGGTTAGGTATTATTAGGCAATTTGAGATGCCTCTTTTTTATTATCTTTATCCACGTAAGATGATCGTTAATTGTACCGTTATAATTTTATTGCATACATCTGTGTATCGTGCTGAACATATAAATGAACAAACTCATCAAAGGAAACAAAAGATATTATATTATCTGGGTTCCCTCAAAATTCTTTTTTGATACGTCGGAAACGCCTCAGTTATCTCGACCACAGAGCGATCCGCCATCTTTCTTCTTCAATAAATAGGACATTACCGGCATTGGATGTCCTAACCTCACTTTTCTTTAGCTGACACTATTGTAGGTTGTCTCTTCAATCTGAAACATATGTAAATAATATTATTAATTATTGTACGCATTTTATTTCATATTTCAAGATTCGAGTTCAATTATTCAAAAATAATAATACATTAGGAATAAATTATAGTTAAAGTTTAAATATATGTATTTATATATGTAGTGATTATTCATTTGTATATGATTGGATTTGTCCAAGATTATATTTCTTCATATTTCACACAAATATATTTGTAAATAATAAATATATTTAATTTATATACTGTTATTACTTATTGTATTTGAAAAATATCAATTAGCATATTTTATTATAGCTAACATAAAAAAATTTTATCATTTGCATGTTTTTATTATGCACATTATATATATTTTGTATCTTCTTATATACAATAGATTTTGTAATGTAAAATTTTAATTAAATAATTTCATTCGTATATTTAAAGAATGCTTGTATAATCAGTTCTCAGAGTGCATCCAATCATTCCAAATATTGCTTGTTTCAATAGTTGTTTACTAAAGAAATAAGTAATTTCTAAAAGTAGACTTAATATACGTATACAAGTTTGTTGACTTTTTCTCAAAAAATCATGTAATTCAGTTGAATAATATTATTTTTTTTTATAATAAAATTATAATACCAATAGCATTGAAATGCAAATTTGTGTAGAAAAATTGCTACTTGTTAAATATATATACTATAGTACTATAATACTGTTATAGTATTATAAATTTTAATAACATTAAATACATATGAAATTATGTACGAACCCAATTTCTATCAATAAAGATTTTCTAGAATGACTTGATACCGCTGTGATTCTATTTCTATTTAATTAATTAAAATAGTAATTTTGTATATCTTTTTTTCCAATTTTATACAAAACATATTTTTGTTTTTTCAGAAATGTGCAACACTTTTTATATGTACAAGCAATTACGAACTAAAGGCTGTTTGAGAGGAAGTTGAAGGTTGGAAGAGGTTATGTTCCAGGTTGACTGATAATTTACCTGGGGGTCGAGTGATAGAAGGGGAAGGATTACAAGTTTCCAAACCATAACATGACATAAGTGCAGAGAGTGCACTGCGAACGCCAACTGTTGCCAGTTGTGACCATCTACCAGAACTCACTGCATCATCACCTGCGTAAACAGCATGTGCATCAAAACTTCCTACCGAGATCATTTTTGTATCTGTAAAAGATAACAATTATATTATTAATATTATAATTCAATGAATATAAATAATTAACTGACCTATAGGAGGTGGATTTAATATAGGAATGTGAGATTCCAGTTGGCCACTTGGTCTTGTATTTCCTGCAAGTCGTAGTTCGGCATGCAGATCTTCTAACAGTTGCACTACTTTTGGATCAGTCTATAGAATAATTAGATAAATATTTGATAAAGAATTTTAATTATGAACAATTATATTAACTAATATTAGCATTTACCTCATTGTCTGATCGCAGTGACATAAGATCATCAACACGTATCGGCTTCCCTTGATTTAAGGCATTTGTGAGAATGCTCAATTTTCGTGCAAGAGTATCTTCTGTACTTCCTTCAATAGTATGCGAAGTAGCATCTCCCTTTAGATTGATCGATGATTTTATTGGTGGAGGACTATTATAGTAGTATGATGACGATGGAGATACCATAAAAGGGCCACTTTGATTAAATAATCCATCTCCCCCATAATGAGATTCTGTACTGAGACGATTTGTATGAGAATTATAGCCTGCTTCCATTTTTAACCGTTTAGAAGATCTGAAATCAAATCATAATAAAATCAGAATTTTATAATTAATTCAAAGACTATTAATTCAGAATTTTATGTAGATAATTTTTATGTTATTCAATATTTTTAACATAATATGTTAATATGATAGTATACAATTTTTATAAAACTTTAACAAAACAAATATTCTTGTTATAAGATATTAATTTTATTTAACAGCCAATCAATACTAAGCCATTTTCTAAGCATTCATCAACTATATCATCTCTAAGTGAATATATTAGCTAAAACAAAGTTGCATATAAAAGAAAAATAACAATATAATACTTTTAACTTAAAGTAAACAATCACAAATAAATTTATTTGTAAATTCTGTAATGAATAAAATATTGTATAGAATAGAAACATAAATGAAATGGTATTACATGCATGCAAATAATAGTAATCATGCAAAGATGAAGAGCATCTGAAAATGTACATAATGAACAAGCTTATATAATACATATATATGTATATATATGTATGTATGTATGTATGTATGTATATATACATATATAAACATATATATATTTAAGCAAAACATACAATATAATACGAATGCTGAGAATAATTATTTATTACTCTCATATAAATGATATCTTTTATTTTCAATAAATATTTTTACTAACTTTGTTATATTTTATATAAACGAATAATAAATGATTTTAATCAATTACCTTTGAAATATAAATGAAATATAGATATGTAACAGTGAAAAATTGATAATAGAATTCAATTGAAATTGTTAACATGTATGATGAGTTGTGTATAAATGTGTATAATGATAAGAGACCTAAACAAATTAGATTGTTATCAACGTAATTGAATTATAAGCAGTTTACATATTTTAGTAAGATAAATGAAAGCATATATACTGTTACAGGATATGTATGTATATTCAGAAATAAATGATGAATTTGGATACCCTGGATAGAAATATATATATATATATTAACGAGTATATATATAGATATATTAACGAATTTGGAATTTTTATTACCTATGTAAACTTTTATAAGTGTTACAAAATTTGTCCCTCTATCATTCAGCCACAATTACTTTTATTTCCTGAAACATAATTCGTTTTCGTTAGAATTCATTGCCAATTTTTGTTGTTGTATGTTGTGCTTATATATTTCATATATATATTTTTTTATTTTTTATTATTTTTAAAAATTATATTTTATA